GGGCCAGCTCCCGGTTCCGAGCGGGACGTTCGGTTCGAATCCTGCGGGCCTGCGGGACCCCGCACTGTTTCCCTTTTTGCCCGGCCGCGCCCATTGGCGGAGGTCGGCTCCGTGGGGCGCCCGGACATTGGCCGGCCGCTGTGTTTTGGCTCGTCCGGGCTCGTGATTGGCCACGGCCCGGCGTTTGGGGCGGAGCCGCGCGCGCTGATTGGGGCCCCGTGGGCCCGTTTGAACTCAACTTGAAAACCTGGAGTGCCTGCTGATTGGCCCAGGCCCCTCTGTTTGGTGTTGTAGGCTTGGGGGTGGTGCGGCCAAGTTCATTCATTACTTCATTGAAACGGAACATGCTCAGCTGGAAAAGCAAGACAGAGTGGCTTTGACTCATTTCCTCTGAAAGATGTGGTCATCTCGAGAAACAGAACGATCAAAATAGAAAGCAGATAGAGCCCTCGCAGCTGCTCCAGCCTCAAAGATTGTTTATTTTTTTTTAATCTTTCAAGCAGCTCTACTTTTTTTTAGCCTTTAAAAAAAATATAACGTACTTTTTTTCATGCCTCCTTCCAGTCACTACCCACCCCAAAGGCCAAGGTGTGTGTGTGTGTGTGTGTGTGTGTGTGTGCGCGTGTTTAGACCAAAACGTAGCTCTCTGAAAATGTAAACCAATGCTAATGTACACTAAATATAATTGCAAGGGAATAAATAAGACTTTCTCAGTCACTAGTATCCGACACTCAGATTTTTGTTGTTGTTGTTGCTGTTGTGAAATTGATTGACCTAACCAGATATTTAATTTCTACCCTCTTTTTCATGGGTGTGATACAGGTCTGGCTCTCAATCCCAGCCATTTAAAAACAAAGTTTGTTTAGAGTGCTCCACCTCCTGGATTAGGATTTGACCTTCAGGGCTGTGTTTGGGAATTGAGGGGGTGGATAAAGAACTAGGAGTTGCAGCAGACTGCGGAAGGGGCAGAGATGTAGGAAGATAATAGTACTAGTAGAGGAATTCACTGTTAGAATGTCTGCTTCTTTAAAAATGTATTAAGTTTTGGATCTGAAATACCAATCCGAGAGTATCTTTTGAGGCTAAGAAGAAAGCAAGCCTTTTCTGAGTTTGCCTAAAGTGGGTTTAACGCGCCATCGAAGAAAACAGGACCATGTAAACATAGAATATGAAGTGGGAAAGAGTGACACCCAATGTTTATTACTGATGAAAAACAGCCTGAGGCACTATAATGAATTTTTCCCAGTTAGTCTTTTGTTTTTGTTTGTGTTGAAGGGACAGGAGTCAGCTTTTTGCCTGCTGAGACCTGTTTCTCTTGCTGTAATTACACTTGGCCTCCCACAGGGTACCGGGGCTGAGACCCGGAGTGCGGCCGGCCGGAGAGTCAAGTCCAGCGCTCAGCTCTTCCCTCCAGTAATTGCAAGGTGAAAACAAAAGTGGGCAGCCAGCAGCTTCCGTCGCCAGGGCGCTCAGGCCACAAGCAGCCCTAGAACAAGGAAGTACTGTCATTGTGGGGCTCGTTTTCACAGGTCCGTACAGATGCCAAACATGCCAGGGCCGTGAGTGGCAGCATGTACCTGGGCAGAGGCATTCAGCCCGCAGGAGCCCTTAGGTCTTAAGTCAGGAGTTCTCAAGGGAGACCAGGGGCCTGAAAGTGCCCAAATTGCCAAACCTCTTGCCTCCTGGAACTGAGGCAATCTATCCTGAAGGGTTGTTTAATGTTTACCATCTGCAGGGCGCAGCTACAGGCACCTGGGAGAGGCGTGGAAGGCAAGACCCCCAAGCCAGAGAGAGACGCGGGTTAAGGGGCTACGGTTCTCTCCGGTGGGCCTGAGGTCGCTCTGGGCTGAGTGATTTGCGGCTGCGAGGCGGAAATGCTTAATCGATCATTTGGCTTCTGGGAATCTGGTTGGGCTTCATCCTCCTGGGCTGGATAACCTGGGAGCGCCCGTTCCGGGAGTGCAGTGCAGGGAGAATGAATGAGGTCATGTTTGTAGAGGGCTTTGAGCTGTTGGGATGAAAGCGACTCCCAAGTGCAAGGTGTTATTAACTAAAGGTGTTATTATTTTAATCTGAGAGGACAATGTGCGGCAGGTAAAGCAGAGCCATAAAAACATGCCCATTGACAACAAATAAAACACAGTAGTGGCCTTGGAAGGAACAAAATCCTCCTTCCATGAGTGGTCTCGGCTGCAGAGTGAGCCGCTGCGACAGCTGAGATGAGAAACAGTCTTGGCTAGGATTTCCTCGGGGTCTGGATAATGAGGATGTTTTATGTATATATATAAATTGATTTCAGCAAGAAAGGGAGAGGGAGAGAGGGAGAAACATCAATGATGAGAGAGGATCATTGACCGTTTGCCTTCTGCACCCCCCACCCCAATGGGGACAGAGCCCACAACCCAGGCATTTGCCCTTGACTGGAATCGAACCCGGGACCCTTTGGTCCACAGGCCAACACTCTATCCACTGAGCCAAACCAGCCAGGACTAATTAATTTTTTTTCAGATGATTTCTACTGGGGATGCTTGAAAATGAGTGAGCCTCCATGGGGAAGGGGGGCGCCAGCTGTCTTTCGCAATCATGGGAGGGGTGGAGGATTGATAATCCCTACCTCCACCTCTGCAGTGCATTGTGTTCCTGTTCCTCCCCTCCTCCTTTCTCTCTTACTCCCCTGACCCAAATGGGTCCAACCAAGCTGAGGGGAACTCGAGGGCTCTCGGGTATCGAAGGCCCACCCTGTGCAGGTTCCTTGTGACACTGCATAGCGCTGCACAGCATCTCTGACTTGAAAGTCCCAATTGGCCTGAAGCTCAGAGAGGGCAAGGAACCCACTCAGGATCACACAGCCCCTGCCTGATTTATGCTAGCAACGAGATCAGATGGGTTAGATCAGGTTTGGTTGATCCAGGACCTCATCTCCTTTCTCCCCTCCTTCCTTTCCTTTCCTCTCTCCTTCCTTGAATTATTATTATTATTATTATTATTATTATTATTTTAGTTTCTCTATTGTTGCATCAAGACAAAGGGACAATGTGGAGATGTGGTTAGGAGAAGCAGAGAGATATTGAGAGAAGAGAGGAAGATGGGAAAGGATGCAAATGCCAAGATAAGAAGACACAACGGCCCTGGCTGGTTTAGCTCAGTGGATAGAGTGCCGGTCTATGGACTGAAGGGTCCCAGGTTCGATTCCAGTCAAGAGCACATGCCTGGGTTGTGGGCTCAGTTCCCAGTAGGGGGTGTGCAGGAGGCAGCCGATCAATGATTCTCTCTCATCATTGATGTTTCTCTCTCTCTCTCCCTTCCTCTCTGAAATCAATAAAAATCTATTAAAGGAGAAGAAGATACAACGAAGAGAAGCAGCCCTCAGGCCCGCGGGGCAGCCCTCCCTGCAGGTCAGCCCGGGAGGCGGCAGCTGGTGTGCTAACCGGCAGGGCAGCTCCCTGCTCGTGGGGACTCCTAACGCTATTGCTAGCTCTGCCTGTTGAATGCGACCTACGTCTGTTACGAAGTTTCGCTGCGAGTGTGAGCCATGTCTACCCTATGGTGGGTTAGGCAGACCTTGCCACTTGGGAAGCATCCGTCTTTTCCTAGACTTTTTCCTTAAAGCAGAGGGAGGCTTAGTGCCAGAGCGGTCCCTCCACTGCCGGCCAATTCCAGTCCTCCCCTGTGATGCTGAGATCTGTGTCTACTGAGAATGTGCCATGAACGCAGCTCTGCTCACTTCTTTTCTTTCTTTCTTTCTTTCTTTCTTTTTTTTCCATTACCTTAGTTAATACAACCACCCAGCGATGTCGGGACTGTGTCTCTCCTCAATGAACAAATGAGAGAAATAGGATCAGAGAGGGTAAGTGACTTGCCCAAAGTCACTCAGCGAGCTCAGGCTGGAGCTGAGAGCTGAACCCCTGGTGCTCCCAAAGATCCCCGTCTGCTTTCTAGCCTGGCCTACCCCCTGCGTCCGCCTCGCTCCTCCCTCGGTGACACTGAACAGACAGGAAGGCTTGTCTGTGCTGTTAGAAGTAGCCGGAAGGTCAAAGCTGGTTCCCCGGCGGAGGAGCTCAAGCCGGTTTACACCAGATTACATTTTCATCGACTGTCACATGGCTCACAAGGGACAAAGGCCAGACCACTCCCAGCAGAGTTAATGGCATTTCCCAAAAACAGCCCTGGTGGCCTGTACTCTCTGTCCTGTACCTGCCAGCCCAGCGATAAGGTGGCCTCACCTCCAGCTGCCAGGTGTGTCGTGCGGTAGGTGCGGTAGGTGCGTCCCTGGCAGTCCTTTCGAAGAGACCCCGGAGGGAGGTTGGGGCTTTGCCCGAGGGGAGAGACAGGCAGGGCAGGAGACAGCTTCCGAAGCAGCCCCACCCACCCGCCCTGCCTCCTGCCTCAGGAGACGTTGGTTGTGGGCTGGGGCCCAGGTTCCCAGCCACTTTCTCTCAATGGCAGGAACTACCAGCTGGGAGCTGGGCCTCCCTGGCCCCACCCTGGCATCCAAAACACAGGAGTCTTGTTGCTGTGGCAGGTGCTAACCTGACTGTCCCCTCCCCCCCCACACCTTTTTTTATTTATTTTATTTATTTATTTATTTATTTTTAAACCCTTTTTAAAAAAGAAATATATCATACGCCTCCCTAGCTGGTCTGGCTCCGTGGATAGAGCATCCGCCCGAGGACTGAAGGGTCCCAGGTTCGATTCCGGTCCAGGGCATACCCGTCGGTTGCAGGCTCTAACCCCAGCCCTGGTTGGCGTGTGTGCAGGAGGCAACCAATTGATGTGTCTCTCTCACACAGATGTTTCTCTCTCCTTCCATTCCACTCTCTCTATATAAAAAAAAAAAAAGAAAGGAAAGAAATATATCATACACCAAGAGTCTGTGTATAACCTATGCACACTTTGAAGAATAGGAAAAATCCCAACATACTAGTAGAATTTAAGAAGTCCTAGACTAGTACCTTTAAAACCCTCACACGACTCTCCCCCAATACGTACTTTCCTCCCCCCAAAAACTCATGATCCTTCAATTTGCATTAATCATTTCCTCTGTTTTCTCTGTTATATAATCCATTGTTTGTGGGTACCTCCCAACAGTGCATTGCGGGCATGATAGATGGAGTCCGTTGAGTAGGTGACTCACCGTTCTGCAGGGCTCAGTCCCTTTTTCTCTCCACTCACCCTGCGGGTGAGCTCAGGGGAGCCCTCTTACCAATATGGATCGCTTGAAGCGAGCGCTGGCTCTCTTCCATGACCTCAGAAAACTCTAAGCCAAGCTAGCAATCATAGGTCAGGAGCAGGCAGTCCTGGAAGGCTCCCTGGAGGAGGGAGAACTGAAGCTGGGAAGGGATGGGGTAGATAGAAAGGAGAAGGAAGGGAGTTTGGGGGGGAGAAAGAACAGTGGAAACCAAAGCACAGCGTTACCCTGAAAGCAAGTTCATAGCCAGGCTCGTTCAGGGCACCTGTTGGGAGACAGTGGGGTGAGGGAGCTGCTGAGCTTAGAGGGGCAACGGCTAGCGTCGCCCTGCTCTGGGCGGTGGGGAGGAGAGTGGTTGGCATCACTCCCTTCAGCCACACACACAATGGCCCGGGCTTTCTCTAGGTTCAGCGACCCCTCAAATTAACCAGGACAGCCCGGCGAGGTTGAGGTAACACGCAATCCCAAAGTCTTGCTTCTCAGCCAGGCAGAGTTCGCTGCAGTCCGGCGGCTCTCAAGAAACACTGCCCTCTGGGCGGTGACGTAGTGACCCAGACCCGGAGCTCCTCGGTCTTGCGGCTCTGAGTTGGCAAAATGCAGCCCCGGGGCTGCTGCCTGCCTGGTAAAGGAAGCGTTACCGGGACACAGCTGTGCCGACGTGTTGGCGTGTGTCTGCGGCTGCTGTCATGCTCCAGCCGGGCCTGCGCAGTGGACCACAAAGCCCTCGGCACCGGGGAACGTGCCCGCAGGCCAGGCTCCAGGCCTGGAGCAATGCACCCTGCTGGCTCGCTGCTCCTTGTCTGGAGGAACCACATGGGGGCTCCTGACCACCCTCCGCACGCAGGGCCCGGTACGAGAACAGCAGCGTCTGATCCTGGGGCGCTCCCTCCCCCAGGGCAATGCACGAGCCTGTCCTCACTCGCTCATCTCTGCCTGGCTTGTCCCTGCATCTCAGCTCCTGGAGGGAATGAACATGGAGGGGCTGCTGCAGAGGGCGGATGTGTCCGAGATGCTTCTCCAGGTTTCAGAAGTCACCATGGTGGGACCGAGCCGTGGTGCTGGCAGCGCACACGCCCGGGGCAGTGTTCCCCAGAGAGAGGAAGGAAGTAGCCGCCGGGAAGGGGAGCGCTGGCCTGTACACAGTGGAGTCGGAAACCACCAGAATGTGCCTGTCACCAGCAGTGCCTGTGCTCCGGGCCCCAGAGCCCTCAGAGCACATCGGTGTCCTGTGTCCTGCCCTCGGGGTGCTCCCAGCCAGAGCTGCCCCGCTGACCCGCTTGTGGACGGAGCCTGGTCATCGGAAGGGACTGCGGGAGGCAGGGTGTCTGCCAGGCCGAAGGGGCACCGGTGCAGGGCCCACCCAGTGCCCACCCAGTGCCGACGGGAAGGCAGCTGTTCATCTGCCTGCTCTCGGCGTGAAGGTTGAGGCCCAAAAGGATCCAGAGACAGGAGATGGAGGGTCAAGGGCTTGTTGAAAATGGTCCTAATTCAGACAAGGGGCCGCTGGAGAGGAAGTGGGTAGGAGAAGGAAGGCAGATTACACTGGGGGAGAGACGAGATAAGGTGGGGAGGGGGAGAGCCCCAGGCAGGTCCTTTGTCTCTGGAGCCTCTGTGACTGGCCTGGCGCAGGGGCAGGCTGTCCCGGTGACAGTGAC